CAATCCTTTAAAATACATAGACTATCCTCCATTAATTTTCCTATTGAGTGGCCATTTTGTAACAGATGTTGTGCGACATTTGATCTTTCTGGTTTGTTGTTCCTCCACGTAGATATGTGATTTTTGAAGCGTTTAACGAAGTTCACAGTCTGTCCAAGATTTTCTCTTTATTTTGACCCAAGGAATCACTGGGTGAAATGTGTCCCCAACTTTTTTGAACACCCTGTATATATGTCCATAAAACATTAATATATATATGAATTTGAACGGATGGTGTTTTTGGCCTCTAGGGACCTCAAAATGAAAAATCCAATCGGTTCCGGAGGGAGGTCTTACCATGAGTACTACGGTAATAGCTTATAAAATTCGCTAAAAGAGAGGAAGAGAAAATGTTGAGGAGACTTGCAACAAGTATTTTCAGGAAACTCAGTTGTTATTTGAGGTAATCTTAGAAGTACTTGCATTCCTGTAGCCTTATCTCGGTTTGTGACGTACTCGCTTGAAACTCTTGTATATCAAGTTGAAATTGTTTACCTGAGCTTGCAGTTTGATATCCGCTTAATAAAGTCTTTACATTTAGAAGTTTTAGTTGTTTTCCGTATTTTTATCTCTTACTAATCAGATGATTTAGTTCATATATACATCATTTATATACTTAATTTATTAATTAGTAACGTGTAATGGACTGAAAATCTAGAACCGCTGATTGATTATAATAATAATTGACTATTTTACACATATAATTTGTATTATAACTCTAGAAAGGTATGTATTACTAATCCGTAATTTCGTGTCTTTAATCGTGATGCCTAAATCATTTGGGGGTTTTCATCAAACGATAAAATCGGAAATTACTCGAATATATTGATTCAGAATAGCGGAAGCAGTCAATCAATCGTTAGATTGGAAACTCCTTACATTTTGACACACAAATATCCATCGTTGAAGCGTCCTTTGGGGTGATTATTTCATAAATATGGTTATCTCTGAAATTAATTAATGGTTATCTCTATTTGTAACTTTCTGAAATTTTTTGGATTTGATTGACGTAACTTCCATTGTCACTGTATTATAATTATAACGTAATGGGGATGTAAATAAGGTTATAAAATTCAATATGAATGAAAGGTGAGTGTGGGATTACGAAGATAGCCTAAGTAGATCTATGCCGGTTAAAATCAGCTGATTTTTAACAGATGATGGACGGCTAAGTTCGGTGTGAGATTTTCTGTGTAGCTTTACTGACTAAGATCAGCTGTTTCATTAGACAAGCTAATTAAAGCCCAATCAGAGACAGCTGAGTCCAGTTTCGAACCATCAAAAAGCTACTAACTTTTCGCAGGATCGAACCGGTAACCTTTTGAATGCTAGGTGAGTATAGATGTTCAAAAAGATAGTGAGTTTTCCTCGATGGGACGTATAGACAATCTTCAATAATCCAGACTGGATTATTATACTCTTTGCTTTGTTCGGACAGCTATTTGAGAATATTTGAAAATATATATTCATTTAGGAATGAGCCTCTGTAAACAAAGCATATGAAGATGGATAGCTAGTGTTCCACTCTCTAGCCTATTGTAAACCAAAGGCTTCAATATTTACATGTGAACATAACTTAAACTCAATTTGCAGTGATAAAAAACAACATTTTTACATTGCTGGTTTTTTTCTGCTTCTGTATGTAAAATTATTGTATTTTTCATGTAAAAATGGTGCATCCGTTAACAAATAAATAAGTAAATAAATAAATTGCTACGTAAAATGTTAGTAATCAAGCACAAACGCATTGCAATTTATTTGAAACACAACCCAAGCCATAACATAAATTGTCCCCGGCTCAAGTAAAAATTACCAAGACAACCTTTGAACACATAACCCGCATTTCCCTGAAGAATATGAATATTAATGTACACTGTTACTTACTTGGGGTCTAGATAGGAATATTCAAAGCACGAATGCGAGGGTGATAATATATTTTAACATTTTATTACGGAATTAATTAATTTAATAGTACTAAATTATTTCGTTGTTATTTCATGCAACCAATAGCATGTTTCTTTTTGTTTTTGTTACATCAGAATAACAAAATACGTGTTATTAGGGATGATGTTTAGGTTAAATTTATTTATTTATTTATTTACTACATGCACGGCAAACGCCATTTTGCAAGAGTGTTGAGTTGACACTGATAATATGTAACTTAACTGTATGGTTATCTCTATTAGCCATTGCATTGACAATTTCATAGTTAATTCTTCTTCAAAACTGCATAAAGGATGTTTAGGAAAAAAAAAGTTGTAGGCTTAAAATACCTACTTTGTATGGTTGCCATTTCATTGACATTTTTTTTTTCTTTTTGTAACTCAAATGTCTTATTTTCCTGATGGCAATAATGTGTACTAAACTTTACAGTATTTGGTCTCTGAGATATATTGTTATATGTTATATTTTTTATTTTAACTTAATGAATTTATTTGATGAAATTGTTCTATCGTCTAATTATGAATCCTAAATTACTGATTGCAGTAATGTTTTCTTCAACTTTTCAAACTATGCAAATTAGCTCAATCACAATGCTTTTAAATGTTATATTTTCTTAGTAAAAGGCTATATATTTAAACACAGTAACATAAAATTCTAAAATGGCGATTATATAGGTCAGTCGAGCCAAGGTATTTTATTACACCTGGCTCGTAACATTCACAAGAGGTTTAGCATTCTAGAGATACTTCTATTTGACATCAATTGTGTCAAACAAAATTTGCATTCCAAACACAAGAAACGCTGACAATCAATGACAGGTTTAAAATATCAATCCTTGTCATATCGAATACATTGTGAATATCTTTTTGACATACTTTATACATATTTATGATATTTACCTTTGTTGTTTGTTTGCTTTTTGACACTTTAAATATTAATATTTTTTTTATAAATTGTAAAGTTTTGTTTTACTCGAAGGTCCATGCGATTATTAATTTAAATAAACAATTTTAACAAAAGTTTTCTTATTTTATCAATTTAATCATTATTTTCACAGCTGTTAATGGGATTAAATGAAGCAAAATACTATGCATTTATAATTGAAACACTGTTGAGTGAAATTGAATTAACACATAAACTATGCTAATTGAATAATTATAATTCAAAATCATTTCCGCTTATTAACATCATTAGATGTAATTAAATTCAAATACACTTGTAAGCTAATTAGCAACATGAGGGTGATCAAATTCGTGTAATGAAAATTCAGTAGTGCCAATATAATTAGCTTTGCTTGATATTGGCACTATAGGAGGGAAACTGATTTGCAACCTATTAATCACATGATTCATTATGTTTCTCTATAATTTATACAAAATTAAAATAGTAAAATTAGAAACATACCAAGTCTTAATATTTTTAAGAGTAAAATCACTGATTGTGGTTTTGACATTTTGCATCAATGTGTTTCAATTTTAAATTAATACTTGTATTCAATTATGTATTAGTTTGGTTTATTTCTTTGCATGGATTTAAAAAAACATAATAAAAACAAAATATTTATTTACTGTGTAAATATTTTATTTGACGTTGTATTCTTCATAATTCAATGAAGGAAACAAATAAATGTATATACACAAAAAACTATGCTAACAAACGAATAAATGTAGGCATAAATACAAAAAAAAAATAAATTAATAACACAAAATACTGAACGATCGGAAACAACACAAACGCCCAAAAAGATCTAAGAAACACAAACAAATTAAATCAATAATACCCCCGCCGCAGCAAACCTGCAGACTAAGCGAATTTCCATTTGACTGATTTGATTTACACTGAAATGTCTACTTAAAAATATCACATTTATTCCCGATTTAAATAGAATTAGTTTAACAAGTACTTAGGTTTGCTGCATCAGGGAGGGTAAAACTGTTTTTTTTGTAAAATGTTAATAGTTAGTAAGAAATAAAAACGTTTTCCAAATTTGATCAAAATATGTTCATAAACTACAAGCAAACTACAACAGTTTACTTATTCTACTGGAAGTTTGCTTATACATAAGAATAACATGGGAATTTTAAATTTACAATTTTTTTGAATTTTCTCCGTAACCATTAGGCGCATAATAACGCTTCAATATACTAAATTATTTGTTTTTTTAAGCTCTACAAAATGGTTTGGAAAGAAATTGCTAAATTTTATGTTTTTTTGGCCAAAAATGGGAAAACCCTATTTTTACCCCATAAAACCCCCCGTAAACCCCCGTTCCCATGGCCCGATCATGCTGGATCGCGAACTCGTTCGAATAAACGTAGGTTTACGTTTACACGTTTGTACCAAATTTCATCAAAATCGGATCATTGCTTGAGTTATCGTGCTAACGGACACATATATATAAATATATATTTATATGAATTTGAACGGATGGTGTTTTTGGCCTCTAGGGACCTCAAAACGAAAAAAAATCGGTCCCGCGTCCAGGTCTTACCATGAGTACTACGGTAATAGCTTATTCCCTATATATGGGAAATTCGCTAAAACTAAAATTATAAAATTGAATATATTAACCGATACAATGATTCATTACTTTATGGTAAAAAGTTTTAACACAAATAATTAATATATTTTGACTGAGGGGAAGAATAGTAAGAATGAGAATAATTAATTACTGTCACTTACATACTTTTGTAGGCTGCTTGCACTGGTATCGAAAGGTAGTAGTTACAGTGATCACCTTCAAATCTGAAGGTCACCGGTTCAATCCCAGCGGAACATATGCTGAACTCAGATTCCATACGTTATTTAATCAATTAATTATGCTCTCCAACCAAAGGTTGACCAACATTTGGAGACTGCCATACAAAAACAACTTAAAAGAAGCCAATAATAATAAAACATGAAAATCAACGCTACAAATAGCTGTATGATGTTGGGCGCCTCGTGGAGGAGGTGGCGCCTAGGGGTGGACTTGTGGGAGAAGAGGGGGAATAGGGGTGGAATGAGGTAGTTTACAGGGCGCAGTGTACCCGTGTTAGGGCGGAGGCTAGCTCGTCCCGGCCGTAGCGCCTAGTCAACTAAACAGGTACAAAATACAAAATACTATTTAATACACAACCCCTACACGTATACTGTGTTTAGATTAACCATTTTATTATTTTTACAATAAAATTACATTTGTGCATACAAATTATTTATACATTTTTTTCTTAATTTTTAGCGTTGATATAAACGTAAACCAACTCAATGATACTTTTGTTTATTTCTCAATATTGAAAATGCAAACAGAATATTCGAGGCTAAAGAAGTGTTAGAATTTGATTTCTGGGAAATTAACTGTCAGAAGTTCTTTGGTGCTCATTGATAGGAAAATTGAATGGAAGTAAAGCGTGTTCAATCTATTTAACAGGAGATTGAAACGTTTTTTAGTTTAATGATTTTATTTTTGGTTTAATATCATGGGTTATGCGTGGAATATTGCTAAAATCATAGATAGGCTATTTATTTAAAAATCAGTGTATTTAGCACGATATTAGTAGCTACGCCCAAAAATCCTACAATATTATATAATTATTAATTGTTCCTGAGAATTTAATTTTTCAAGACATTTTTTATGGGATTTAATATATTTTTGGCGCGTTTGTGAATATTTTTTTCTCTGTAAAACACTTATGGTGAAAATTTCTATAAATAAAATATTTTACAAACTGATTAGACAATAATCTATAATAGTCAACTAGAAAAATACACAAAATGTTCTATACTTAATCAAGTAGGTGGGTTCTCTGTAACCGCCTATTTCCAGCCTTCCTAATTAATAGATTGATACCATTGAGGTGTTAATCTAAAGCTTATAGACTACGGGAGAGACAAATGGTAGCAAAATAGGTAATTTCCTCTATGGCTTTGCCCCCATTGCGTTTGATTTATTTATAGAACTTGCTTCAAAGGTCCTGTGATGCTGACAAACTTCTTCATAACAGTTTTAATGTTTAAAAGCAAACAGCTGATACTTCAGTCGAATGTTTAACCACATATCGTAAACAAAAGACAAAACTGTTAATGACAATTGATTTTAAGTACGCTACATTTGTGAAAAGTTCTACCTGATTGAGATAGGTGTACTCTTTAAGGTGTAGATTTAAAATGAACCAATTTAATTTACTGTAAATTAGAAGTGTTATTCACCTAGTAAATCAAACACGACAATCTTTTAAAATTAAAAGGATACGAGATTACTTGTTTTGCATTGGAATCGAATTTCAACCCCTAATAAATTACGCAAATCGTGGACGGGTCCCCTCGTAGTTTGAATAAATTAAGTTCACTTGGTCAAATACTATTTTAGACTTTAATTGTTCACCTGGGATTTTTAAAGGAATATTAACTTGTATATCTCCATACCATACTTAATCATTAATTTCCGTCCAAAGGCCTTAATAAATGGAATTTTACGTTTATATATAGATTTAGTACATTAACTGTGGCATGGTGAATACTTGGGATTTTCTTAAAAGAGGTACACGCCGTATCACCGTATTGATAATTTTTTAAAGCTTTACAATAAAATATATAGTCCGTTTTTAAAGAACGTGCATACACTAAAAAAGTAGTAATTATTGTAGTTCTCATGTCAAAGTGGGGTTCAAAACGCCTAAAACACACATTTCTTGGGAAATGTATTTCTCGTTCTAGGCTTTTACATTTATCAAATTTATCAATTTATAAAATTGTATAAATACATAAATGTTCGAGGTAGTATTAATATAGTTTTTGACTTTATTATATATGTTCCCTTTCACGATTGATATCCTATTAAAATTTTAGATCGAATTGGACTACGGTATAAACCATTATTGTATATTCAATTGCTTCAATTGCTTGGAAACTATAAAAATAATTTCTTTAACAACTATTTTGGGAAAATTAATTTCGCTAAAACATTAAAAACCCCGGGCAATCGAGATGTTTGCGGTGAAGCAGCATTTTCAAATATTTTATCTCTAAATATTTTAATCAGCAGACCAGAACATCTCTTTCATTAACTGTAACTGAGCTTAACTCTGTGGATTATGAGTTTTGAAATAAATCATTAGAATATGTATTAAAGTATTAACAAGTATTGAGCTATGGTTTAGAGAAATATGTGATACAGATTATATCTAAGTCGAATAGCAACAAGTTGATTGTAAACTAACTATTCAAATCACGTCCTTGACAAAAAAATTTTGGTTTAAAACATATTTAGGATTTTCGATGAAAGGGTAAGACAACTACATAGCTTTAGGTAATATTTTTCCGGAATACAAAAAGTACGATTACTTTATTAATATATAAACCTTTTATCTAGTCCAGTTATCTTACAAACGTTTCCTTAAAATTTCAGTTTTTCTTCAAAACTAAAAAGTTAACAAAAGTTCTCTATGCAAGGGAAGGAAAATAAATACTTTAAGCTGGCTTAGTAAATATCAATTTGTATACTTAACTGACACAAAAAATGAAGTAACAACGCGAGTTAAACTTTTTTTAAGTGCAGGCTATTAAAAGAAAGCCGTGTTTTTTTCTTAATTCCAAGTCTGTCCTCTATCGGGCTGAAACTTAATGCTTCAAGAACATTCGAACCAATCGTAGTATCCTTACTTTGTTCTTTTTTTCATGTACAATATGTGGAGACGATTCAATATTCTAGAAGTCATACTTAATAAATTAATGTGTCAATTATTTTATTAAAAAATATTTTACTAATTTTAAAAGTATTTTACCTATTCATAAAACAGATTCAAGTGAATTTTATTTAAATGTTTAGAACAAATAAAGTGAAAAAGCTATTTAAATATATAACTTACAATATAGACAATGTTTAAAGTGATTAAGGATTCAGAATTTGTAGTTACGTACACAATTTTCGCTCAAGTATCTTTATACAAGTGAGGATAAATATAGTAGTCATACTCCGAGCTGGATCAATAACTTTACCATATGCCCATTTGTTTATCTAATTGTATGATCTTTTAAAAATTAATATTATTTGTATGTTGTGTAATTATGATTGTAATTATTCAGTTACAAAGATTAAAATTGTCAACATAAAATTGGCATTCATAAAAACCCAGTGAAACGCGTCTTTTTTAGGACATGAGTTTATATTCATGGTTATGTTGATGACCTAGTAATAAAGCTGATGACACACACAAAACCCACACAGGTACATAAGCAAAACGAGATACTGTATACAGATGTGATATTTATACTCCATTGTATAACATTTCAAATCAAATTGCATCGAATTGTGTGACACATGTATTCAAATACGGCATTACTAAACATGAATTTATGAATAATATTTTAGGTCTCTCATCCGCAGAAAACACTCGCTTTAATTGTTGTATAATTCCTTTAAAACTCTTTAAAAAAGATATCTCACAAAACAAATTTTAAAAACTGTCAATTTAATAATCTAAGTATCAGGAGTAGCATTTTTACTAGTCTAATATATTTCCCCAAATTAACAAAAGTGAACAACTACGCAAATGTGAATAATAAATATACAGCTCAACAGTACCTTATTGAAGGAGTAGTTTGAACCTGCATGCATTCTTCAAGCTTTTCTTCAGAACAATCTAATGAAGACCGAATAGTTTATATTACTGTTACCCAACTTAATTTACACCTTGTCTATACAAAGTGACAAAGTGAATGTGATCAGGTTGAACATTCTACGTCAAAGGTTTCCAAACGGTTTCTTTGGAGTTATTATAACAAGCGAATGTTAAGGGTTTGTTAGGGTTGGCCCTAACAAACCCTTAACATTCCATTAATGACGTCTCAGCTTCGTCTAATATTAACTTCCAATCCCACTAACTGTATCCATCCACCAATATTGATCAGATCCGATTATGTATTCATCGAATTTGATGTTTCACTTTAAAGTTTATAGCTTTGACAATACCTGTATACACTGTATAGTGATGTAAGAATTCGGTCGACAATTAAAAATGTGACTTCTTTAGTTTTTAATCAAATAAAAATTATAATTTAAAACTTTTCCCTCCTTCTGTGAGCGAAAATAAAATTTTACGCAAACGTGATTTTATATAATTTTCAACAGTTTAGGCAACAAAAAATAATTTATTTTTGTCTCTGATTGCATAACAACAGTTTTTTTTTGTACTTTTTCAGAGTTTAGAAGTATACGATTACAGTGCCAAACAGATTTAATAGTTTTAGTTTACAAATTTCTAGCAGAACACATATCCATATCTTATGTTTCCCTATATTTATCTAAATTCGTAAACACAAATATTCTCATTTACAGAAACAAACACCTTTGAGAAACTTCATGAAATTTCCATTACAAACAGGGCATCTTATGTTAGCCTTTATTAATCAAAACTCAATCGTATCTAAAATTCATAAAAACAAACATTCTCTTTTAATTCTCTTTGTAATTCTCTTTTACAAAAACAAACTCCTCTGAGAAATTTAAATTAGTTACAGAACATATTCAAAAGCAATTAATTTCCCAATATGCTTTAATTATTCTGGTGAAACAAAGGCTAGTTCTTGGAACCGAACTATTTTGGTATAACCAATTATGTGCAACAAAGCGTTTGAAACTGATCAGATTTAGGTCAAAGGTTCATAAAATAATGAAGATATTTTGATACATATTATAGGAAAAAATATTCATTTTCAACTAAAACTCGTTATCGGGCGAGAGTTTCAAATATCACAAAGTCAATGGAAATGCTTTGACATTTCCTACGAGACACAAAGAACTTTTTTCTCCTTATGGATTAATTTTTACAAATATGTTCAAAACTATATATATTTTTTCCTAAAGAAACAAAACTGTATAACAATTTTAACTACGCTTAACTTAAAGGCTATTGACAACTAGCAAAAATCATTACATTTTTAATAGACAAATATTTTGTTTTAAGCTGGGACAGATACTAGTATGATTTACATTAATAAATATTTTTGTAAAATATATTTATATTTTTTTGTAAAATATTTGTTCAATTCTTAGAAAACATTCTACAGTACTTGTTTGTAGTCAGCTAGCATCTTTCTGTATTTAGC